TGTCTGATGGCAGCAGGTGTATATTTCACAGGGGTTGACGGGTTTCAACACATGTACACACTTACAATTAATTTCACAGGTGTTGACAGGTTTCAACAGGAATATACACTTACAATTTCTGTGCACAGGGGTTGACGGGTTTCAACACAAATATACACGTACAATTTCGGTCTATACCTATAGACCTTAAATATACTGATATATACCGCGAACAGAAATTAATTTCTCTGGAGATGAAAAAGTTGAATTTTCCTTGGATTATATCCATTCAGTGGCTCGAAATAAAGTGGCCAACTTTACGCTTAACTACCAGTCATAATTTCCTCTTAACCTTTGCGCGGCTTCTTTGCCGTACTGCATCTGTAACGAAGATGGATTGTGTATAATAGTGTACTGTCCATTCTACGCAGAATATCGGGCTACGACAAGGAGAAGTGCTCACAGCCAGCCAGTGTGGGTCTAGCATTGCGTTATCTGTGTGGACCCGGACCAGTGGTCTTCTTCGTACCCGCTCTCATCTGCCTCTACTTCTACCCTCTAAGCAATGCTCGGCTCTCGGAGCTGCGTGCGAAAATTATGTTGTAAGTCCGACCCCTCTCTTGTCAACTGGCCCTCTTCCGGCTACACCCAAGTGTTACATTAGTATCGTTCTTTCTGATCTCTGTCCTCAAAGTACTGTGGTTAAAACTGTCCCAACTGGGCTTCATGGTATTCCCTGTAATGCCCCCCACCTCCATGCCTAACGATCTGGGGTTGGACCCACTTTCTGATTTCACCATGTTCAGGAACTACCCGCCTATGCTGAAGAAGTGTGTAGAGGCAGCTTTTATGCCGGCCTGTTCACTGTCTCTTGCCAGGCCTAGGCCCTTAACTCGTGGATTAGTCATTGAAAAACTTGCGCGGCCCACTACAGTCGTGTTTTGTTAGATGATATGGGATATTTTCGCTAGCTGGTTGCAGTGAGAGGCTCGTATTCAGGCAACAAAAAGCTGAAAGCATGCAGTTTTGTTTGCTCCAATCTAGCACAGTCCAGCATCCGCACCAACCTCTTTCACTAGTTGCAGACAGGTTGAATGCATGTGCATAACACTTGATTGCTTGGGGCTACTCAAATGTCACGAGGAGTCTTTAGCCGCCTTTGAAGGTGCTTATAGCAACTATAGACGATGTCCTCGTGCAGATGGCATAGCTGGCAAGGAGGAGTAAGATTTGAGCGGTCATTTCTAGTTCCTGGACCGTTATGAGCCAGTCATACCCAGTCCCAAGTGGTGCCCCACCCTAGCTTCGAACCTGCGACTATTTGATCAGAAATCAAACGCTCAAATCAGGGCTCGTTGTATTGAAAGGCTCAGTGGCTAAAGGTCTGGACTTCTGTTCAAACAGGTCGTAAGTTCGAGCCCGTGTGGTTGGGCATGAC